CTCTCGAAAGACAGCGGGAAATTCGCCATGTCAATCAAATCAAACATATGCGTCCCGGCTCTTAGCCAGCATTATAACGTAATCTGACCTTCACCCAGCGGTTGCCACTAGGCGGCACCCTGTATATAAGCCCACAACAAGACTAAGGCAACAGCGGATAATTGATCCGTCAGCATCTTGCCACTACAAACCTCAGCTGAGGCGCCTTGTAAGCATTCACAACAGGTACATCCACACCGGGGATATCCATCAACAAAGACCCATAATGCATGAAAATCAATACGCGGTTACACGTGCAGATGAACTCCAGCGGTGATGTAGCGCACGTGCCACATCTACCTCATTACTGGGCTGGGGGGAAAAATGAAATGGGAAGTAGCCTACCTGCCATGCACTGCGCTGATGTTTGCCTATGCAAGTGGATCCTTGCCTCTTCGACATTGGCCCCTCGTGTCCACCTTTGTTATCTAACAATACGGGCTTGGATTATGCACACACGACAGCATGCGCTACAGTAACTGGTGCTTGCTGTCAATGGGTTAGATTACATAAGCTTTTGCCGCTTCCGTTAGTAGCGTTTTTCTTTCTGATGCAGCATTCCTTTCTAGTGTACCTGGATACCGACATTTTTGATGTGCTCACACCATTGGCGGCAGTCCACTGCTATTGTTTCCAATACCTAAACTCAACATTAGTTCATGCTAAAGTCACTTTGATTACAAGTGCCTTCAGCGGGTCACTGTTTGCCGAGTACCCTTATTTTTGTGGTCACTAGCGTGTCTTATGCAAAGATGTATGCAGATGTCTAGCAGACCACGATGAACAGGTTATTTTTAAATTATCCTATTTGACTGAAGAAGTTGCACAGCTTCACGTCACTCCACGTATATCGACTCGCAGTTTTTAGCTAGGTGGGCACTGTTCTGTTAAGCTGATCAGCGATGGTTCAGTGCTAGAGGGCAATCGTTTACCGGGTAGCGGGGATTATACTTACCGCCCGCTGGAATGGGAATTGCTTGACTATCCCACCTTCGGTTCTGCAGACCACAACATCGAAGCAGTGTTTATCTCTGGACTTTAAAAGGCGAAGCTCGGGAAGAGCACAGTGGCGCAACTGCCATGGTTTTTCAGTTAGATTGTGTGTTTGACATGCACCGTGTTTGGTTGTCAGAGATGCAATATACTACGCTGGAAACAGTAGGAATATTATGTCGTCTTTGCAGTCCTATGTTCGCTTGATAACCTGTATGTGTTGACAAGTTGTAAACATTGAACTGATTGCTGGCTTATAACATTTGAATATGGCAATATGTCCAGTTTTTCCACCCTTGTTTTCTCTTACCGGTTGGGAAGCTTTCATCCATAGCAATACAGAGGCGGTAGCTTGGTAGTATACTGCTGTTGATGATGTTTAGTTAGTGCCTGGCGCAGAGATGTAGTGAGAGGGACGTGACGACTTTCTGCCTCGATGGGCATTTGACAGGTGCGGCATTTTCAGTGCAGACCATGGTTCTATACCAAGTGTAAATTCATCAAAAATACTTCCGCGACCGAAGTGACAAAAGCAAATGAGGCTATTCATGGTGGTACCAAAAATCTAGTTGATACTACAAATCTTGATGCCCAGGAAATAGTAAGTGATATTCGGCTGCAGAGGGAGCGCGCGAATTTGAAGAATTGGGAAGCAGTCATTATCTTGCATGATAACAAGCATATCAACCGCTTTTATGTGTTTTTTCGTGTCTAATTAAGACTGATCATGAAATCCGCGCTATATTTCTCCGGTTGAGATCCACACCTGCGCAACACTTCTATCATGAATCCGAAGATGTGGCACGACCTGGTGCGAGTATATAACGTGAAGGTAAAAAAGCAACAATGATTTAGATTTTAGGGATTTTCGAAACAGAAAGCAAAGACTGCAGACATGGATGGCGTAGCCATTTTATAAAGATGTCCTGTTTTATTTCAGCTGCAGATTGTTTTCAACGGGATACTCTGGTTTTTCGCCTGCTATGAGTTTCAGCAACTGGTGCTAAAGATCTACAAAAGGTATGCGAACACGAACCATGTAAGTCGCATGCTCAGGCATTCTTCAAATGCAGTGAGCTAGAGCTCCGGTTAGTTGAAGGGAAGACAATTGAAAAAATGGAGCAAGTATTTGTGGAAAAACAAAACAACAGGTGGCATGAAATTTATGGTTTCTGGTGAAGCAGCATATGGCACTGCTTGGCCACCGAGAAGATATCCAGCATGTTAAAGGAGGCTAGGAAAATAAATGGAACTTGTTAGAATTGATGTATTTATTAGCTAAATATGGTAATGTTTTCATGAAGATTTGATGACCGTTCAGCTGGGAAAGGATATCAACAATTCGTATTTGTCTGTAGATACTCAGAATGGAGTTAAGAGCATTCTGGCAAAGTAGATGAGAAAAATTTATACATAAGGTTAGCACCTTAGCACCTGATTCATCTCACAAAAGTCAGATAAGTCTAGCGTTACGCTGCGTAAAAATGGATGCAAAAGCATTGATGGTTGATGTGTCGTTTTATGCATCATTGAGACTAACAGCTAAGCATAGGAGAGATTTCTGGACTGATTTTGAGAAACCTAGAGAAGGATGGGATTCATATTGCTGACTAATGGGGCCAGGCATTTGACAATGTTTATGTTACGACGGGCTACCATTCGGGTGCCAAAGGCAAACCTGCAAAATCAAATCAAATGTACTCAAATTGTGCCGAACAACCTCCTCGTGGTGCCAGCTGGGTGGTTCGGGATTTTCCCGTTCTAGCAAATGGTTCGGCGGCAGTGTTCCAGGACGTGGTGGGTTTTCGCCTGGCAAGCGCTCTCCCTATAAAAAGCCACATATGTCCGTTTAACAACACTGTGACGTGGCGGACGTGACTCGCCACTAAATAAAGTCACTGCCCCTTGCTTCATCCTGGCGAAGCATTGTATTCCAGCAAGTTTATGCTGTAATTTCGGGGAGCATTGGGCCCCTGTTTGGCAAAGGAACAAACGAAAGGCGTATGAACTGAGCAATCAGTCACCGGCTCCCAATGGGCGCGATTCCCTGAATTCGCTCCGCTGCCTTGTGGACAGGCTATTCAGCCAAAGGCTCGGGGTGGTGTCCCCTAAGTCAACACCCTACTTCGGCTTGGGCAACCGGGTAGTATTTCGCCCTCTGACGAAACCGTGGACATTGTTGTGTTGTGTTGTGTTTTCTTTTACTATTTCTGTACCTTGTTTTGAGTTCCATGGTTTCCGATGGTGCAATGTCTATTCATAGACTGTTGCAAAAATATATAAATATAAATTGTGCCATACCTAAATCATTCCCTGAATCTGGCTTGTGAACGAGCAGCTTCTGCGAGGGAGCAGTCTGTTATACTATTTTCGTTACAATGGGCTGGTTATACTAGTTATCTCGACATCAACCTATCGGTGGAACGTCCTGATTCAACTGACCGCTCTATGGATCAAGTGGGAATTGAAAACTAGATGGTGTAATCCGGTAGACGCTGTATATGTCGTGGTGAAATACTCGGAAGTCGTCCCTGCTCTGGAACAGCTCATAAAAGATGAAGATTCTGCCACAAGTTCAGATGCATCATCTCAGTACTGTCGTCTATACTTATCACTTTTCTGAGCCTTTGAAGACCTGTTCTCCCAGAAATAAGTGCTCCTGCGAAATATCTTCAGTGTTGGATATACACTAAAGTTCTGTCAACTTCACCACGTTAACTGTTTGCCTCCTTCACAATAAAGGGAACATAATGGGCAGTCTAATGGATGAATACGAAATACTGCTCTGAATTGGAGGTAAACTTGAAGCGTCGAATCCGCCAAGAGAAACGAATGGGTGATGAAGCATTGATACATCGATAAGATTGGATGCTGATTTGGAACAGAAGTACCTGGCTAGCTTAGATAGATTGAAAGCTGAAGTATGTGTTGGATTTTAGCAAATTCATGACTTTGCTAATAAATATTTTTTTCTTACGCCGCCAGATCTGCTTGATGAAAAACCTGGTTGTTCGCTTGACGATGTTGGGGAAGATATAGAAAAATACAAATTCTTTAGCGAAAGCACAAGACTGCAGTGTTTTGAGAAGGCTTCAGAAAGCAACTAAATCATTGGTACCTTTGAAATTTTGAGCTTCTTACAGCATGGCCACCTTGGAGAATCAGCACGGAATATGGTTACCTTGCTGCGCATCTTTCTAACCCTAGCCAATAGCATTGCTAGTTGTGAGCGCTCCCTCACAAAACACAAGCTTATAAAGATCTACCTCCGATCAACAATGAACTAGACAAGGCTCGAGCCTTGACAGTTCTCTCCATTGTGAGGGAACTTACCGATTAATAGATTTTTGATAGTGTATTAGAGAATTTTGCTGCAGGTATTGTAAGACAACTGTATTGGTAATGTCTGTACTGGTATATCGCAAAAAAACAAATGCTTGCACTTACAGCAGCAGGCTGTTCTATGAAGCGAAATATTGCAGGGTTGCTTTCAATTGTGAGGGTTTACGAATTTACAACTGCCAGGGGGAGCGAAGTTCGCAGACGACAATCAGTTGCTACCCCACTGGTTTGATGGGTTGAAAGACTATCGCAGTTACTTTTAACTTCCTTTGATTGGTCGACGTAACATCTACAGTGGGTGCAGGCATCTAGCTAAAGCTACATTTTAGGTAAAACGTAACCATCGTCATCTCGTTCACCCGCACTGGTATGAGGAAGTCACTTCGTAAAATGAAAATGTCGCTCGCAACCACCTGTAGTCTGTAATACCATCCAACCCGAATTTTAAAGTACAAGCTACTTAACCCGTAATAAACCGTTATGCGTTGTGCGTAATGATTTCATGCCGCAGTGTTCTACCTAAAACATATATAATCGGAAGGCTACGCAATGCTGCTTAGATATAATCCACGAAGTTTAACTTACGAAATGACGATGACCGATGATCAATCACACTTCTGTTTCAGGTACACTTACATCCGCACTCGGTTTTGGCAATTTCGAACAACGGCTCACCCTTACGTTACTCCTGCCTACCTTCTGGGTGGTTAGTCTACGACGAACACATCTGCATTCCAAATGCCAAGGAACACTTGGCGGATGCCACCACAATGCATGGAATAAAGGAGGAACTTGCAGCTCACTCATCAAGTGAGCGTCCACAATCTGGGGCCGACAGGCAAGACTTGTTCCATGACAATTTCGACGGGGTCTGGGAAAAAACTACGCATACCGTAATTCGTTGTGCCACCATTGTGTCGCCGATAACAATTGCATTAATCGGTGGTCCAATGCGACTTCGGTCGGATATACTGAATGAAGTCGAAAATGATGCTCAAGGTATGTAACTATATTGCTTATCAAAAGTTTCCTGTAGTAGTTTCTCTCTACAGGTTTCGAAATAACAAAAAGCTACTTGTTGACAGAATACTCTGCATTTAGATAGTTCCGGCATTTGCACCAGCTGTTTACACACAATCTTTGAAATTAGCGTGCTGTGCATAGAAAGAAGCAATGTGTAATAAACTCGGTGCAATTCCCGGCTGCAGTTCTAAAACGTCGGGCCTTGTTATGCTAGAGCATGAGATAGCATACGCTCTGTCACTTGTACTTGTGGTCACTGAATATCCAGGGCACAAAATAACCATCGCCAGTATGCTGCCCCGCTAGTTCTACCAGCTCTAAGTGGTACCGTAAGACTTAAATAAACACTACATAAGTAGTGCTCATGTATGTATTACACGCTTCGCTCGTACGGTAAATTAACTAATCACAGAAATAGACTTTCCCTACAGCTGTTACACCGCCCACCGGGGGTCCCACATATGCCAACAGCACCATGTATACTAGACTACACTGGAATGGTCATACGCACACATTTTGTTGCTGAAAGGAACGGAAAACGCTTCTCTTTGTGTATTCGACCAAAGCACCTTAGGTGACCACCTGTACTATCGTACGCTAAGCTCTGAGTTTTCAGCAAGCGCTTCCTGGTAGCCTGCATTGCTGAAAACAATGACATAGGGGATTTAATATCCGACTGGCTGGCCGACCAACCTCCCTGTGGTGCCATCTGGTCGGTTCGGATAAATCCCGTTCCAGCAAATGGTTCGGCGGCAATGCTCCAGGATGTGGTGGGATTTCGCCTGGCAAGCGTTCTCCCTATAACAAACCACAGATATCCATTGAACAACACTGTGACGTGGCGGATGTGCCTCGCCACTAAATAAAGTCACCGTCTCTTCCCTTTTCCGGAGGATAATTCACACATCACGAAAGTCATCCGATTAGAAGCGTTCCCTTGATTTCCCCCTTTGATGGCGAACCGAACGAACAAAACATACACAGAGTCACATTTACCTAATCACACAACATGGCTACTTCTAAATACGGACATGGTTGGCGGCATCCGGTTTCGGATTCGCCTGTCACTGTGGCGCGCCACAGGACGCCTGCGCCTACAAAGGGAACACGGATGGCTTGCGCTGCACCACCCACAACTCCAACCACATTCCCCATATCCAGTGTAAACCCCAAAAGGAATAAGACCGGGAGGCATGTGGATGGGAGCCACGTTTCATCAACGGAGTCGGCCCACACTCCTTCACAGACAAACACAAGCACGCTGTATTTGGGGAATCAAGCGCACACAAGGCGGTGGCTGGACCGTAGTCCGCTCCATACTGAGTGCATGGAACCACTCTTCGAGCCTAACATGGCCACAAGGACCGTGCACCCCGTCCCCTCCAGCAACAACCAACTGTCTCCTGGAGCCAGTATGGATGAGGTAGTGGGTGATAGACAGGTAGGCACCTTGTCAACATGCACATCAAGCGCAGCCACACCGGGGATATCAAACAACAGCCAATCACTTGAGAGAGAGACAGAGAGAGAGAGAGAGACAAAGAAAATAACTCGATTGATACATAATGAAACAGTGACATAAACCTTAAGTTAATGAGCATATGAAATAAGTTGTTTACAAACATATCCTAGAGAAGTTCACGAGGTGAGAAAGTATAATATACGGAAATGCCACGAACACAAATGTGTGTTGGAAATCGAATACAATTGGCTTAAGCAAGGTGTGCAAGTTAATGGAATAGAGTACAGGTAGACATTTATATGAGAAAGAAAAGCATGAAGGCAAAATTGAAAACTCACCATCTGAAATAAAGAGACTTAGCATGCAAGCACGCGGTTAGCAAAAAGAATGCAGGGTATCTACAGACGTTGCGCCGGTTTTGAATACTTCTCTGCAGGACCCGTCATTGCTTCTGTAGTGGTCCCGAGTGGCCTCGCTCATGGCTCACGAGACACTAGACACTAGACACTATACATTATGCCTAAATACAGACACACATACATTTACATGTCAACAGACACATACGTTCCTATGCTATTTGTCAAAATGCACTCATTTGTGCAATTGCCGATCATGCACGTCTGTATTACGATGATGACGCCCTTGATGGTGTGCCTCGCAACGACGAGAATAAACTATTTATTTATTTATTTATTTGGACCGTAACTGAAACAGTTCCAGTGATCGATTTGGTCAAGATTCACTTCAATGAGGAGCGCGGTCCACAATCAGTACCTATAACAACCGTCCAATCCGTTACTAATCGCTGTGACTAACGCAGCCCTCCGTGAACCGATGGCAGTAGGGGTAGCAGTTTCGGTTAATAACTGCATATTTTCAAATTTTAGGCTCCAAATTATCGTTGTGTGATTCCCTGAATGAATAACCTCCTGTAACGGCACTCGTTCGTGTTCACTTTCGCATTCGTATCTCTTCATTAACTGGTGTGATTACTTCACTTTACCTTTTGTTTAATTTCGAAGTTTTGCACTACTCATGTGTTCGCTCCAGACCTGTTCACTTTGGACATAACTTCATTCATCGGAACGATTTAAGATGCTTTTCAAAGAAGTGCTGTTTCACGTGGTGGGAAGGTTTACGAAAGGTTAGGATCACAAAGTCTACTGGTGCAATGTCTGTTTTCTTTCCAGGAATTCACTAAGTATGCCTTACTAATACACCAGGAACAGAGGGCGTGAGTCGTAGCCAAGGCGAAAGCAAACTTGGAATTGAGTTAATTGTTACCGACCTCGACAACCGATGCGTCATGCTACACCCGCTAACTACACGTACTCAACCACATGACTATAGTGCATTCGCTGACAGGCCTCTCTTTCGCATTGCTTCCTTTAGTCGTATTTTTTCGCCAGGTTCCGGTTGGGAGCAGATTACAGTTTGCAAACATACCATCTGGCGTTGGTGATTTTCCTACGTCTAAACGGACGACGGGTCCATACACAGATTAGGAATACACGATCGGTACAAACAAAATGGCGACGGGCAGTCCGAACCCACTTGCGGGTCTCTCAATTCTCTGGCTGGAGGCTTCAGGAAAACCTTCCTTACAAGCATGGATCCAATGGAAAACTTCGTTCCAACATCAGATGACTCATTTCCATCACATTGTCAGATACCCACTGGATTATATTGTTCCGCCAGGCATTTGGTTCCGAAGGACAAAAACATTTCGATGCCATGAACTTATGGTTAAATCTTGGATCTTACAAACGATTCAGTCATTTGAGGAACTATGCAGAATTCAGCAGAGCGCGTTTTCTGCTTGCTATCAGTTTTGAAGTTACAGCAGCAGCGCGGAGAAAGCGTAAACGATTTTATCGCACGCATTCACCAAGCTACCCCAAAGTGTCGTTACAACACAATCCCTTCGACGCGTTTTGAAAATTCAGTGTCTGATAGCTGTAATTATAGATGATGGATAAAGAGAAAAATTATTATCCCAGGTGGCAGAAAGTTTCTCGTGAAACAGCTTGCAAACTTGTTCGGCAGAAGGAACCTCGGAAAAGGCAGTTGTCCACTTTTAACCCCGCCCAACCTGCAGAAATGTGAACAAACTAACTCAAACTTTTTCCTCTGGGAATATTATGCGGAAGTTTGTGTGCTACCGATGCGGGGATCAACACACTTCCCCCAACCAGTGCCCTCACATAGGAAGTGCAGGAAGTGTGGTAAAGTTGGTCATGTGACTCGTGTGTGCCGTTCCCTACCATCACAAGTTCGATTAAATTGCTGCACGAAGACGACGGTGAGTCATGTGATTCACAGTTAAACTTTATAAACCATCCATTTGCTAACTGTTCAAACATGACAAAAGTACCTCCGTATATGATCACGCTTGTTGTTAATGCTCGGTTTCTTTTACTTGACGCAATAAGAAGATGTAGGTTGCGATATCTTAACATTTCGGTTACTCTCATCAGTCGCGACGCAATACAGTCAGAACAAAATACGCATTAAATACAGTGCACACTTAGTAACCTAGAGAAACATACAAAATTGATGGGAATGACGTAATCAGGCCCATGGCAATCTAATGGATTGCCTCAGTTGTTTCTCGGCGCAGAGAGCGAGACACTTTAAGCTTGTCAGTAGCGCCTCGCTAATTGATAACACCTTCCGGTTCCAGTTGCGCAATAGCAGCTTGAATCAATCGAATGGGTTCACCTGGTGATGAGTCGTCACAAGGTGTTTAGTGACAAACGAGGCAGGGTTCCTTTTCATTTTTTTGTCCACTCCGCCTTGGTGAGACATTAACTGCTTTGGTCACAATGGGAAGTGTTCAACCAGCCTTCGAGTCAGCCTCGACAGGTCCTGCCGAGGTAAGTGTCACCGCAACTGCAAGTGAACTGGTGCATGATGTTAGAGGCCAAACTGATTGGCGAGCTACTCGGACGGCTGTGGAGAGAAAACCTTCGAAGTTGGGCCTTAGAATATGTACACAATAGGGCGAACCTGAGATTGTGACCAAGCATATTTGCCACATAATCCCGTTGAACGATAAGAACAAATAAACATCTTTATTCTCCCCTGTTTGTACTGGCCGCTTCGCCTTGGAAGGTCTGATCTGGGTCTAAAAGCTTTTCTCCGGGTACGCATTGGTTAGCAGAGTCCGGTATACAAACTCTTCTTCAACCTTCAGTATTTCCGGACTGCCAATTCGTCTGGTCCTGTAGAAGAGCCCTTTTACGAGGCCGCGTTTGTATATAACTGGGGCGAAGCTGGAAAAACGTAGGTATTGTCCTCCCAGGTCGCTTTTCTGTACCCACTGCGTTGCAGTGTGTCGTCGGCCCTTCTCTCGAGGAGCAGGCTCAGAAACGGTGGTCTGTCCTCTTGTTCTTTCTCCTGTGATACAGAAAGGTTGGGGTGGATTGAATTCAGGAGGGCAAAAAGACGGTTTAACTTTTACGATTTTTGAAGACGAGAATGCCGTCTACATGGCGCTTGTAAAGCTTTGTTTCACCTATG